TACGGGACACTTGCGCAGACACAATCTGGGAATCCTCCCGAGCCTTCACTCCAGTAAATAAGATGCACGTCGGATGTCCAGGCAGCGTGCATTGTGATGCCAGTACAGTTAATTTATTCGAGGTTCAGCCACGTACACCTCCAGTGCACTCGTCACTCTACAGCAGTACTCACCCCCCCCCCACTCTCTGCTTCCACCCATACTCCGCTCCCCCACACATCTCAACCGTCCCAGCCCCACAGCTCAATTTCAAGTCCTCACTTGTATTGAGTGGTGAACCTTGCTACACTTGGCAGAAGTTCTTTTGTAAAAAAAAAAAAATCCGAGTGATCTTGTTCAAATGAACGCGTGTAAATACTTGGCTCTCTTGCAGGCACTTGAAGAACCCAGGGATTGCGAAAAAAATCCAGAAGCTGATCGACATCGGCCTCATTGCCATTCGGTGATGCCTTCAACTACAAGGGAAAAGATAACGAAATAATTAATCCTCCAGCCTGTGTCAACGGCCCAAAGTAAAGGCACACCCACGCACGTGAATACAACTTGTATGGCACCGCCATCTATTCACGATGATGACTCGATGAGGGGGTGGGAGGGGGAATGTCTGTTTAACATAGTGGCTCATTGTTAGCGTTTTTCAGTTTGACATTGTGAGCGGCCACCCGCCACCTTTGGTTGTGTGCTTTGGTGCTGTGGTCTTCGGCAATTATGGTAGAATAAATGACAGATCGAACATGAAAGACGCCTCCAGAAATGATTAATGAACCACATCTTGGACCTCTCTCCTGTGTTTGCTCTGGTTCTCCCTTGCCTTCCTATGCATGTGAAAATGTCCACAGGGCACGCATACCTAGTTACCAACACAATGTTAGGCTGCGCACTTCATTCCCATTTAAAATTGGATGTGGGAATTGTATTATTACATTCATTTATAATAGGAAGCATTTTTTTAAAAATGTAATGCGTAATTGGAACTTATTTCAAGTTACTGTGTCTTATTGTAAAAAAAAATATCTCAGATATTTAATAAACATTTAGTTGGCATTTGAAAACAATCACTGTGTTGGAATTTACATGTTGATATGTGAAATCTGAAACTATTTTTTCATAGATTTTCTTTTCTATATTTAAACATTTTGACACTAGTAGAGATTAGCAAAGATGAGTGGTGTTATAGATTATTTTCCACTTAAAAGCCTAAGGGGTTTTCGGTGGGAATTTGGCAACTTAAATGCACTTGACCTTACTCTTATAATATGCACTTTTAAGCTTCAGGTCGAGTTGGGTGGGGTTTATGATTGAGATAAGACTCCTTGTTTTCTCTCCAGGCGTTCTTAAGCCCCAAAAGGTGTGTTCTAGTGATGGCCACACAATACATCGATTAGCTTAACATTTTTGTAAATTGATGCACTCATCGAACTTTGCGTAAGAATTGATGGCTGCTGAATTTGCCTATGGTTTGTAATTAATATGACCTTGAGTGTTCTTCATTGCAAGGCCCGTGGGCCACTGGCGGCCCCTGGTGGTCTTTAGTGTGGCCCCTGACGTGCGGCCCCCGACAATACACAAATGTGAAACCACCCCTTGCAGGCGGTGTGGCGGCCCTCGCACTGATGATGTCTTATCGGCGAAAGTGGCCCCCCTCTAAAAGTTTGTGGAAAAACACTGCTCTACAACCACATATATAGGTGCTACAATGTAAATATTTACGTTGTTGTGGCCGTATTGTGAGAGTTCATCGAATTGTGAGGGCACGAGGTGTTGAGGCCTAATTAGTCCATGGGCCAGAGCAAATTTTGGTACCACCAATGATCAGAAATGTGACTACCTATATGTGTGGTCAATCAGAGTGAATGTGTTAACCCGCTCTTCACAATTGTTGGCCACATTCATAAATTTGAACCACGACAGTTATGCCATCGCATGGTACTGTACCGACAGTGAAATATCTGTTCAGGGCTCATGGACTAAGTATCATCAACACGATAATATTGGTCGCGACACACATACGCAATCTCACCCAAAAATACCTTTGACTATATCAGTGTTCATCTTCTTGGTTCTTTCTGTAAAGTCACGTAGAAGGGAAATAATAAAAATAAAATAATTCTCACGACGTTTCGGCCACAACGCAAGCAGCTGTATTTTATGTTTTATTTTATTATTTCCATTCTACGTGACTTTACCGAAAGAACCAAGAAGATGAATCCTGCAGTCACGAAAGCTTTAAATCGAAAAATATATCAGTGTTGATACCACGAGGACATCAAGGTTGGTCAACAAATGACCCAAGACTTCTGTGTGTCTAACCGTAATTTACACACCCTCCTACACACACTTAGGAGACTTGCAAGAGTCATACTGGTGTTTTAAATTCCCAGCTGGAATGAGCCGTTTTTTGCTCTCATTTCACAACACTAAAGAATCTGGTTTAATAACGGGCGGCTGAAACCCGGATTCTCGAACACGTGGAGGTGTGGGTTGCTGGACCAAAATGTTGTGAAACTCCCCATGGACGTGAACGTGTGGAGCTGTAACCCTGCCTTGCCAGAAGAACGTGGTGCAGAAAAACGTGGACTCCAACTGTGTTCCATCCATTTGGGAGAAGTGTTGCCCCCGCCCCCTCGCATGCGTGGTTTACTCAGCGCTCCGAGTTTCTCCCATATATAAACACTGGCTTTACTTCCCGGCTTCGCCCGGAACTTGGATTCACCTCGCCCGGCCGCCTTTGTCTCTCCAGTGGCGATGGTCACACCACACCAATTACTCGTTTGAGGCTGAGTCGACCTCGGGGAGGCCCAGGACCGGTTGAAATAATCGTCAACGGTGGTGGCCGTGAGCGGGAATCGAACTCGGGTCTCTGGGTTCGGTACCACAGCGCGCTCTACACGACAATGCGTTACGCTTCCACGTGCGCGGGTCACGTGACAGAGTTGACGTCACAGCTCACTTGGCGTGCAAAAATATCTGCATTATTGAGCTCCCCTCCCCCCAAAAACCAAAAGTGTATTTTTATAATTTTTGTATAGTGTACAGTCTGGAAAGTACCCAAATGACAAATTTCCAGTTTGTTGCATGTCGGGAAGTACGCTAAACATTTTGAACAGACACACATAATCACAGCTTTGCCTTTTATATATATGGAGGTAACCCTGTGAGCCATGCGGCTGTTGACTCGGGTGCAACCGCAACAAAACAAAAACATGAACAAAAAACATCTTAAAGTGACTACACACAACAGTAAAATCCTGGAAAAAAACAGCAAAGTCTTCCAGAAAAAACACCGTATTTCATTGCTGTGTGCAAAAATCCCAGTGGGATGCAAGTCAAACAATAACAACCATAAGACATTGTAGATTAAAGTTATCAGGCTAATTCTGTACTACAACAAACAAGCATGGCTAAACCAAAACGTTGCGTTAATGTGGGGGAGTGCACGTGGTCACCGTGCCTTGCGATTCTGAGTCTGCCCAGCTGCAAACGAAGCGACCGGGGGAGTTGAGAGGGTTGGGGGTGACGAATTTGCCGTAACTGTGCATGCACAATCAATGAAGAGAGGACGTGTGGGCAATTGAACACCACATTACTTCGGGGTACCGCGGTGGTGGGATGTGATCGCCCTCAACTGGTGTGCAGGTGGTCATCTCCCACGCCTGGTATGCAAGGAGGTCATGGGTTTCGACCCTGCCGCATGAATATTTGGAGTTTGCAGTGTTCCTTCTCCCCGTGGTCGCGTGGAATTGTCTCCGGGTTTTCCCTTCACATTTGCAATCACCGTGCGTTTAGAGTTATTCGACAGATAGACATTTACACACGATAAGCCACTTCGTTGAGCTTATACTGGAAGGAACCGAACCTCCTGGTTACACCAGCCCACAGGGGATTGTTGTGTCCGTCCGTTAGTCGTGCATCCAAAAATGGGTGGGGCTGGGTGGGGAGGGACTGGGAGGGGCTGGGTGGGGAGGGTGGGGGGTGGGGCTGGGTGGGGAGGGTGGGAGGGCTGGGTGGGAGCGAGGGGAGGGCTGGGTGGGGAGGGGAGAGACTGGGTGGGGAGGGTGGGGCTGGGTGAGGGGTGGGGCTGGGTGGGGAGGGTGGGGCTGGCTGGGGGGTGGGAGGGGTGGGGCTGGGTGGGGAGGGGCTGGTCACCCCGTGATGCCCTTATAAAACTCAACGTTTAACCTTCTCACGCCGGCTTGTGCCCGCCCTCACAGTCGGGCATATTTGCGGAATACACCACGCCGCCGTTGACCCTGGACATTGACCGAGCAACCCAACGTTCCTACCAGCTCCCTCCGCAAGAAAACATCTTAAAGTGACTACGCGCAAACAAAAAATCCAGGAAAAAACAGCAAAAACTTCCAGAAAAAGCACCGTACACCGACGCTGTGTGCAAAATCCTAGTGGGGTGCAAGTCAAACAACAACCACAAGACAACTTAGATTAAAGCCATCAGTCGAACTCCGTACTACAACAAACAAAACATGGCCAAACCAAAAAACTTTTTCGAAATCACCAAAATAAATAAGATCGGCATTGATAAGAGGTTGACAGGTATGCAATACGTAACGACTATATTCCCACATGATTTCCCCGCGCCTCTCTAAAGTTGAACGTGTGTAGCTTATTCCCAATGACCTAAGTTATCAACTTTATACTTGTTTTTTTTTAAATCGCGTTTTGGTCATAATGCGAATGTTTCAAAACGCGTTTTCACCAACACGGCTCGGCTTCCGTAGCCACACACACACACCAAGGATGTGCCCCGTTACCCAACGAGCAAATCGTCTCAACAAGTATCTAGTCCGGACATAACTAACATTGACATCGTTAATATATCGATATGGACGCCGACCTCGCCTTCGCACTGCAGCTGCAAAATCAATTTGACTGCGAGGAGGAGGAGCGCGCGGAGGGACGACCGAAGTTGGCCGATGATGAGGTCGGGTGGGCTAGGCCGAAGCCTCGGTCTCTCCTGAAAGCCCTGCCCGGTGACGTGGCCCCCCGGCCCGGCGATTCCCGAGCGCCGGGCTCGGCCTCTCTCCATCGTCGATTCTGCCTGGGAATTGATCGACCCGAGTCCGAACGTGTGGGCGCTCTTCTCTCAGTACAACGAGGCGCTCTTCTGGGGGAAGCTTCAGGGCGTCGAAGTGAAGTGGAGCAAGAGAATGACCCTGTGAGTGCGCTGGCCGTCATGGCTATGGTGATGGTGGTATCGATTAGGTATTTCCGGACAAGTTATTGACATTAACTTGACATTGTTAATAGTTTCAGTAACGTATCACCCCTTGGAATTGAGAGATGGGTCATCTGAGATGTACATCATCTTCTTGGTTCTTTCGGTAAAGTCACGTAGAAGGGAAATAATAAAAATAAAACATAATCAAATACAATTCTCACGACGTTTCGGCCACAACGCAAGCAGCCGTCCTCCTTGCGTTATGGCCAAAACGTCGTGAGAATTGTATTTTATTATGTTTTATTATTTCCCTTCTACGTGACTTTACCGAAAGAACCAAGAAGATGAATCCCTGCAGTCACGAAAGCTTTAAATCGAAATGTACATCATTGTCTGTTGTGATGGTGGTTACGGTGGTGGGTGAAGTATTGTTATAAGGAGTGGTGGTGTGTGGGGGGGAGTGTTGTGTCGGGTGACGACAAGACGGTGTTGTTTTGCTGTACGTGCAGATGTGAGGCCAACAAAATCGTCATCTGGTTGTGGATTCGCTCGTTGTGGTTTAAACCCGTCCGCCTGACACTCTAAATCCAAGGCTTATGTGGGCGCACTCTTTCAAGTCCCGTCAGTGATGCCTTGGAGGATGGTTTTTGATAGGATGCTGGATTATTGCATCCAAATAACTATATTTATCTCGCTTAGCGGTGGCTACGAGTTGTTTCTTTCTGGCCTGGCTGGGTGGGGATTGTGCTCCATATACAAATTCGTTCCCTGCGTATAGAGCACAATTATTGGGCTGTAACCGTGCACTTCCAAGTCCGGTGCAAGCGATTGTGTTGCCCGTTGGTGTTTCAAGCATGTAAACTGGCTTGTGTGTGTGTCACCCCCCCATGGTGTAGCTGTGCAGGTGTGTGCTGTTACGAGGGCCGAGGCGGCCTTTGCTCCATCAAGCTCAGCGAGCCCCTGCTCAAACTTCGGCCCCGTAAGGACCTGGTTGAGGTGAGCAAATGCTGATGGCTCAAGGTTCCGACTGCCATCAGTTAAGTTTAACCCGTGGTAGGCTTTCGAGACCAATAGTGTTTATGATTAAGGTTTTAATGGGTGAGATCGCGTAAGTATAAATTTGTCAACCCACCACCACGCGATACAGCGCATTTAATGTGCGTCACGTAACAAATCGTGGCAATTAGTAACTGCTTCAGCACACCCAGTGTGTTGGAGTCAACCCACAACATTTACAATTCGAGTACGACGTTTCGCTGATTACAACCAGCTTCATCAGGCGATTTGCCAGAATTGTGAAGGAGTCTTCCTATTTCGGTGTGAATTCATCGCGGTGAGATTGTCGCCCGTGTTAATCGAGAGTCCTAAACCCTGCTAATTGGCCATAAAATGTTTGGTGTATTTATACGCAGTCTGACTACTCACCTGGAATGTGCCCGATCTCCACATATCTAGAACGCCAAGCGAGGTTTGTTCCTGCATACTGCTTGGATGGGTGACCATCATTCATAAAAACAGGTGTTATAGGCTGCTGCGGGCCGACATTTATGGCAGAGGGCAGTGCGGCAAACCCTATTGTACTGTACTAAGCTCAAACATCTATGCTCTGCTGCCCACCTTCACCAACCCACTCTGACCCAGCGTGGTGAAGTATGCTGGATGAGGGCCTCTCTTATGACTTGCACGGGGTGAGGCGGCCATCGTGTAGCAGTGGATTGACAACACATTTTGTTTCCCCCAATACAATTACCGACCTAGGAAACATAGTAATTATCACTTGAAGTTGCTTTTAAAAGTAAAACAGTAACTTACTGTTACAGCATTTTTGAATTAAGATTACGTGATAAAAGAACAATTGTACCGTATCCCATATGGTCTTAACCCAGGGGTCGGCAACCAAAATAACAAAAAAAAATTGAGAGCCGCAATGCATGTGAATACAAGGCGGTACTTAACATTAGACCACATTTTTGTAATCGCTATTTTTAAAACAGTACACACAATGATTCGTAATGCCGGACTACAAATCAGTTTCGGGCTTTTAGAAGTTCACCGTTCATCAAAAATAATTCAGGTTTTCTTTTTTACTTTGTAATTATAGTGTCGGAAGCCACAAAGCAGTCCTTAAAGAGCCACAGTTTGCCACCGACCCCCTGGTCTAACCCACACTGTTGCCACTACAGACGCTGCTGCACGAGATGATCCACGCGCTGCTCTTTGTGACGCACAACAACCGCGATCGTGAAGGCCACGGCACCGAGTTCTGCAAACACATGGACCGCATCAACAAGGAGACGGGAACTAAAATCACGGTACACTCTCACCCAGGAGGAGCTCTGCCTGCGCAAGCACCCGCTCTCCGGCCATGGTTTTCATTCGTTGGCTTTTTCCCCCCACGATTTCGGTGTCGGCATTGTATGTACGAGCCGGCGAAGAAATTTCCATTCGAACTCTGCAGCTCGCGGTGCATTGTCACCCTGTGCCAGAGAACGACGGTCTAGACGCTGGCCAATGTTTCCTGCTTGGACAGGACACGTCGCTCATCGAAGTAGAATTCGTATGTTCTGTCCACCTCCTCAAGTGTAATTCCAAGCATGCGCCTCTGCATTTTTCTGCCTTGTTTCAGAAAATGGAACAAAACGTTCTACTTTTGAGGATGTTCAATAACTTCATCACTCTCATCTGCTCTGCTTACGGCAGATCTACCACAGTTTTCACGACGAGGTGGATGTCTACCGCCAGCACTGGTGGCGCTGCACGGGGCCGTGCCGCTTGCGCCCGCCGTACATGGGCTACGTGAAGCGCGCCATGAACCGAGCGCCGTCACGCGAGACTTCTGGTGGGACGAGCACCAGCGGACGTGCAACGGTTCCTACGTCAAGGTGCGGGAGCCGGAAGACAAGAAGAAGGCGGCTGGCAAGAGCGGAGTTTCGGCCGAAGGAGAGCAGACGCAAGCGGGCGGAGTGAAGGGACGTGCCGACAAGAAGTCGCCGGCCAAAGGTGAAGCAGATGCAGTGCCGCTTGTTTTTGTGCACAGTTGAAGGGCATATTAAAGGGTTTTATTAAAACACATGACAATCCATTTATTTTAATGCAGTTACATTTTAATGCGATAAATCCAAATTGTATTGCATCATTGAATTTATTTTATCGTGTAATTTCCCTCATAGATGCCCGCACGTTGAACTTAATAATTCACTCACTCCACTTAAGCCACATAATCTCAACAAAGCCATAATTTCCGGACAGTTAACATTTGTGGATAATGAAGTTTCGCTTTAGGATACCCTCAATCACCTTTGTGTGAGTTAACTCTTGCACCCAAGTTTGTTTTAAAATGCATCTTATTTTATTTCTTTCCACAGACAAGAACGGGACAGACATTCGTACGTTCATCCCGTTCTCAGGAAATGGTTTTCTCCTTGGTGGTGGTGGTGGTGGCGGCGGTGGCGGCAGCAGAAATAATGGGAGACCACACAGTGCTGTAAAAGCCAGTTCCACAACCACGGCAGTAAAAGCACCCGTGTCGGGTAGAGAAACTATGACCTCAGCCTCCCAATCAGCAGTTTCTACCTTCAAAGTGCCTCCTGTCTTTCCAACCGGCTCACAGCCTGCAATGGGAAGCTCGTCCCAGGGCAAAAACGGATACGATCGTGGTCGCTCTATGAGTAACATGGACAGCTGGCTTTTAAAGACCAAGGAAAGCAAGAGCAGAAGTTCCCCGACGCTTCGATTCTCAACAGGAAGTCTGTCAGCAATCCGAAAGCTTTTAGCAAAGGAGTGTCTCTGAAGGGAAAACCAAAGGGTGATCCCGAAGGTGTAAAAGTCTTGGCTGTATACAAAGGTCGAGAGAGTTTGAGAGACGGAAATGGAGCACCAACTGCTCAGAGTCCGAGTAAACTAAAGAGGCAACACGGAGGCGGTTTCCCATCTCCTTCTCGCATACAAGGCTCCAGAAACGGAAATAATGCATTAGCCAGTGACGCCAAGCGTGAAAAGACCGAGCAGCATACGTCCAGGACTCCCACGCTTACCGAAATGTTTCAAAAGAAACACGCAGGAGGCAGTGGCGGGTCTGGGCAAGAGCCTTCGAGTCTGGGAACTCATGACTCCAAGATGCTGATGAAGAAAGAAGCTGTCCCATCAGCCAGACCGGCTGAGAGGCAGGGAGAGTCCCTAGCTGCAGGGCTTCTGGTTGCATGCCCCATTTGTCAACAGCGCCTCCCAGAGTCGCAAATCAACAATCACCTTGATGTGTGCCTGCAGTAGGATCACCGGTGCGGACAGCTTCCAGCTACTCAGGGCGAATATACTACCTCCCGTGAGAAATTGTACTTTAGATTACAAAAAATGCTTAGGTGCAAGGTGACAACGTGTAGTATTAACTCGGCATGTTACGATTCATCCCTCTCACCACCAGAATTACAGTTGTCAGGAACCGGGGTCACGATTTAATGCAAGGTTCGATTATTTTTCTCATTTTCGTGGGATCTCTCCTCTGTCGTCTCATTCATTCCACACATTGCATATGCCTGATGATTACGAAACAGTAGCCCGTATGATGTACAGGATGTCGATTGAGACACATTCTTATGTGTATATGAGTACCACGTGAGGTAGAGCACTGCTTAAATTGAATTGGCCTGTATATGCCATGCTGAACATACGTACACATGTTATTGTGTGTCCCACATGAACCATACAGCCCCAATTCAAATTAATCAGCACCGTCTACGCCATGTAGACCGAATTTTATAAACATGGGGCATGTGCCGATTGTAACCACTTAAATTTATATTTGAATGAAGGATAATTGATCAACTTTGAAAGACATTCATGGTGAGTCACCCCCTGTTGTATTAAATCAAGCATGTTAAGCGTGTACAATTGTTTTGCAGTTAACATTAAAACACTGTTATGTACATGTGTTATACACAGATTTTAAATTTGCAAACGTCTTGCTTAAAAAAACTGAAAGCCTTATCAATGTAGCCAGCCTCCTTTAAATGAGCATTGTGCAAAATGTGTGTCTTGTTAAATGTTTAAGATTACTACTTGTGTTTTGTTTACATTAAAAAATTACATGAATAAAATGTTTTTGACTTTAATATCGTGCCATTTGTTTCATTTATTTACGATACTCTTATTTAAATCCCAGAAAACCTTAAAAAATAATGTCTCAATGGATTTCTTAACTGGTTTGAAAGGCTTCTTTATAGCAAAAATCCGCTGTACCGCATTAAAATATCCATCTTACAGGCCAAAGTACACACTCAAGCATTTAACATGAATCAAAACAGATTTTTTTTTTCATTCAAGCTCTGTATCAGACGGACAATTTACATTTTGCAACATTTAGCAAAAAACATCCCTTCCGAGCCCTCACCCCCCAAGAAAGGGGAAAAGAGTTCTGAAAACGTCAGCGAAGTGTTAACGACATAGCAGCATAGCATTATAAGATGTGCACGCAAGTAACTGTTGGAGCTTGTCAATCTGTTTGCCCGTCAGCACGATCAAAACAATTAAGCACAATGACCGTACTTAAACAAAAAAGCTTCGGCATGGTAGCATAAAAACCGGCGACGACGCGGTGAATTTCGATGCAACGTCTCGATTAATTGTCACCATTCAGGGTCACAATGTAACTTACAAATTACTTGTCCCTTTTAGTGCATGTGCAATCTATAGTGGTTATGAATCTATAGAGTAATTCACTTGCTACACTTACTTGAACCGGTTTTTATCACGGGTGGCTTAAATCCCAGAATTAAAGGATTCTCAGCGGGTTTCTCCGATTCCTGAGCCACCCGGCCACCTCACCGGTGATTTAATTTAATCGGCGAATTTCCACATTTCTAATAATAACCATTAGACATCTCCGCGTTGCCCTTGGGCCAATCAATTGCTACTTGTGTCATATTTTCATTTCATAGACCAGAGGGTTACGACACAAGCATCTGTCAGATGGGCACAAGTTACTGCTCCCGTACTGAGTCGTTCCTACCCAGCCTAGAGAGGACTAATTCAGCTTCTTAGGCCGATGGAAATGTGCAAGGCACCCAGTGATATTAACTGCGCAACAACCCTCACCGTTATCGTTCACCCCAAAACAAAACCACCAGCAGCAGCACCAGAGTTCGTGTGAGATGGCCCCAAAGCCAGCTCGACTGTGGCCTGCCACCACTAACCACCACTGCCGCCCACCACAACCACCACCGATACCACCATCAATCCTGCCACCACCATCAATCCCGCCACTACCGTCAACACAGCCAACACCTCCACGACCACCCACTATGGCAAGCAAAATGTGCATGAACGCTCCTCAGTGCTCAACACTGTGCCAAGCTCTTCATTTGTGCGTAAACGGGCTATCTTTCTGCGAGACGATCATTGACAAGTCTTCAGAGGCGTGGCTGCAATTGGCTGTGAGTGGGTTGTAAGGTCGCTGAAAGAAATGAAAAACAAATATTACTGTACATAAACTTCTAAACGTCACAAAATACGCCTTCCCGATGCCGGTTTATCGGCAACGTGTCGTGAAATGAAGAATCAATTTGAATTTTTGTTCAGAGCAGTCGCAACCCATGGGTTAGAGAATGGCTCTAAAATAGATTTTGCACAGGGCTTCAACCAGAAAAATTACAATAGCGGGCTCACTTTCCCACACACTACTTGAGATCGGCATTTGATGGCCACAAGCTGACATTTGTCTCTATTCTAGGAGCTGCAATGTAGCCAAATGAAGCACACCATTGATTTTAACACAGGGTATTATTGTGTGTGTGAGCAGTCGTTAATGACTGGGCTGAGAAAATCAACTCGCCACACTTGAGAAACCGGTTTAATTACGGGCGACTGAAACTGGACGCGGACCCATTGACCTGAGCAGTGCAAGCTCAGTGGCTCCAACCTCTGAGCCACTCGGTCACGATGCACAAACTCATTCTAAACACGTACACAGATTAATCAAATGCTATTGAACACAGTATTATTTGTTGTCCGTCCCCCGATGAAGCATGGTTGGCTATGTACGGTGCAAAAGAAGTACAACATACATATTCGATCTTAGATATATTTACAAACCAGTCTGAATGAATCGCACACACACTTACCAATCGATTTGGCCACTCTTTCCATCTGCTCGGTGATATTGTACCGCACACCTTCTTTCCTGAACATAAAAGAGCGACGTGAAAAAAATCTCACCACAACCACCGTAACACACAGCTTCGGCATTTTTAAACCCCAAACTGTTAGTAATGGAGAAATGTGCAATGCAATTGGCAAAAACAGAACGAAAAAATGTTGATTTATTTTCATTTATTATTTTATAATTTTTACCTACGTGACTTTACCGAAAAAACCTAAGAGTAGGACGAAAAGGAACATTCGCCAGCACGGGAATGGGTCACAATGTTGTAATTATTGGCGAAACGTCGTACTCAGATTGTAAATGTCGTGGCTTGGCTCTCCAAAACACCGGTTAGTGCTGTACTCGTGACGAATTGGCCACGTTCTGTTTACGTGACAACCCTTACTGGTTGGCTGTGTCGGGTGGTGGCGGGTTTAACGACACATTCATATATTTACGCGATCTAATCCGAAAAATAAAAACCTCTATTATGGATGGTATTCGTCGCGAAAGCCTACGTGTTAAACAGCACTAGGGAGGGTTTGCGCAGAATCGTTGCCGTGTGTGCGCTCACCCTCTCGTCCTGCTCAGAGCCTTCAGTCGAACCAGGGCCGACAGGATGTTCCTCTGCAGGTTGCTGGACAGAGCCTCGTACTCCAGAGTTCACCTGTTATCAACAGGACACGCAGACAGCGACAACAATTCCATTTCACCGTTGTTTAAATGCTGTTAGAAAAACTATTTACATGTATGTTGAACTTCTTTCGCACCATATGTAGCCAACTATACATGGCCAATCACTTGATCACACTGCTCGATAAGAGCCCCCTGCATGACGTGCAGGTCATGGGAATTAATTGACCATGCTTCACCAAGCTGGTCAGTGCAGGTTGGTGAATGTGTGGGAAGCAAATACGTGGGTGCTTTGACGTATGGAAACAATGGGTTTTGCTGCACTGTTCTTTACCGCCCACAATGTCGCCCCCCCAAAACATATAACACCTGGTATGCATGGTATTCACCCATCCAACTACTATCTAGAATAAGGCCTTGCTTTGTTCGGAGATATCTGACAACACTCGGGGGATTCTGGGAAATTCTGTCATAGACAACTTCAGCATAATAAACACAATCTATTCCCGTAGGTGTCGTATTCGACCGTGTACCTTAAAGTGTAAGAGTCGATTCGAATTTACATATCTCTAATTCATTACTAATTAGCATAGAGCGGCTGGCCCAGGCGCTGGTGTGAGAAATGAAATTGGGCTCCCTGTTCCCATATTATTCTCTCCGTTTCGTAGTCCGGTGCCACGGCCGCCACTTGGGCCCGTGGCCTCCAGTGCAGTCGTACCGCCTGCACACTCGATAGCTACACCACTGGCGGGCGGCACCTGTGAGGATGAGCTGCATGGTGTGGTTCTGGAGGTCGGCGAGTAGCCGGCCCTCTGCGTGCGCGCTGCCGCTCTCCAGCGTCAGCAGGTACCGACACACCACCTGTGCCGACCACGTGGCAACGGGGGACGACAGGGGTCAGGAGGTCATCGCATCAAAGCAGTGGAGGTGGCCGGGTGTTGACCCCTTACCCACCCCCCCCACTCTCCCACCTGGAGTCTATGGTACAAAAACGACTGCCTCTGGAGAAAGCCACCAGCGCTGGGGATGCTTAAGCGTAACGTTATGATAAATTGCGTAACGTTTGATCAATGAAATAAAATGAACATGTTCGTTGGACAGAGTGCAGAGTTGGCATGGCTGGGTTTGATGCCAGCAAACCGCACACGCTAAGGCTGGGTTCTCAACAACAACTTGAATTTCTATTTGCACCCGCAATGTGACAAGCCTCTCATAACACTGGTCACACACTTTTTCTGGCATAAGGTATTCCAACGGTTTTAAGGTAATTTTGGGGTGCTGATTCCAAATCTGGCATCAGTTTTTGTCTATCAAATATTACATTTTCAATAAAAACTGCAGAAGAAAATATTAAATAAATGTGGATATCTCATAAAATTATATTATAAACACATTGTCCTAAAAATACAGCACCATATTTTAACACTAAAGCAGTCATGACTCGCAACAACTTGCAATCATAAGTGACAGAGTTAATTTCGGGTAAAATCAATGAAAATGG